AAGAATTCAATTTTTGATGAAATTAAACCAAAATCAATTTACCAAAGAAAAGAAAAAAAAAATCCAAAATGTCATTTATCATAAATACAATGTCTTTTAAAAATCTATGAAACTTATCTGTTTGTGTAATCAAACTTTATATATATAATTAACCATTTCTGTTCAAAGGGAAATAACTCAATCACATAATAAGTACCACTTTTGACTATTGGAAAGGGATATAACTCAACAACGAGAAAAGCTAAAATCCTGAAAATTGAACTTGACCTTATAATTTAGTCACAGGAAATTTGAAAAAAATTTGTCAAAGCATTTTCATGATAATGAACGGACACTGTTTGGCAGCTGCCCGCCCGCCGTACATCCCAAATCAATAACAGATTTTTCCTTCGAAAATCCTATTAAAACTCTGGCAAAAAAACTGCATTACCTTCAGACATACAACAATTTCTAATCTTCACATATAAGTATAAAGAACGTATTTCAAGGATGCTTTTTTAGATATTTGTAACAATTTATTTTTGTACTATTCTTCTACCTGCAAAATCACTCATCAGAATAAGTTGGTTAACTGTTGAGTATATATTTCAGCACTGTCAGAATATACACTTATCAATTTCAACAAAAAATTCAACTAATTTGTTAACTGACACTGAAAAGAATTTTTACCACGTCAACTTGTTTTATTTTTTATCATAACAATTAAATAATATAAAAAATAAGCATAAATAATTTTCCTTTTTATTTGGATAAAGCTATTTATTTTGAGAAGATTTATAAATATATACAGCTGGTTATGTCATTAGAGATTCAGATTGATCACTGATTTCTACCATGATGAGCTAATTGAATGAAAAGATTTACTTGGCATCTCATCAAAGAAAATTGTTATAGTAAAAAAAATCATCATTTGACTTTACAAACACTTAAATTCCAAATGCCAAATGATTAATTACAGCTAAATGCTTCAATACTTTCAGTACAGAATTTCACTATACTGCAGGCTTAACCAAGGTCTTTTCAATCTGGTACCAGGCTGCTTAAACTTTACAACAGTAACATTTACATTGCTTATAGAATTTCAAAGTTTTAAAATGTTGGTATATTGCAAAATAGTCAGGTTTTTCTACTAATTAAATTTATTGCTTATCAAATAGAAGCTCTATTTATGATGATATATTTGTTTGTGCATGTAATCAGGTTATTGCCAATATAATTCATTAATTGTGGTTTGCTTAGTTAACTTCCAGTGGCAAATATTTCATGCAAGTTGAATAACTCAAATGTGGATTGACTGGGATTAAATGTGGACTGCCACTGAAAAATGAAGGCATGTTGGATAGGTACAGACATTTTGCATTGCAACAGGCCACTAGTTCTTAGGACATCTCATAGAGCTCTTGTAAGTGTTCCTTAACTTGCAGAGAGCATTGCAATCTTCTCTTCAATAGGTATCAGGTTTTACACAGTGGATTCAAGGATCGGAAAAAATATCATTTTTTAGCTTGAAATCTTCACAAAAAATGTTGTCTTTCTCATTTGCCTGTATTTCCCCCTATTTTTAACAATTACGGCCACTTTTCTCAGACCAGTGGATCTGCCCCTGTTACATTCCCATTCAGACTAGTAGCGTATTTACATATCCTCCAGGATCAAATGGACACCCTTTTGATGAAAAGTTGCACTGTTAGTCAGAAAACTGAGTCAAATTTCTACACTCTGAGTACCCTGCTAAATTTAACTTGCAGAATCATTTTTGGATGAATCAGCATATATATTTGGAATATTATACTCAGAATTTCTTTTACCAAATCATTAGAGAAATAAGTCTTACATTTTCACTCAATTAATGATGACATTTATCCATTTACAAAAGTTAAATTTTGAAATTCATCTATCATTGGTAGGTCATAACCAGATGTATTTTGGTACATCTGTATGTGCTAATTTTTGTACCATATCTAAGCTAATTATTCACAAAAACCATGTCTTTCAAATAAATTACATAATTTCTAGATTTTTGTTCAATGTCTACCTGTTACAGATATCACCATTATTCAAATTAAGGTAACTCTTTGTAGTAAATTAATAGATGATTAACAAATGGTACCAGGAACTTAAATCAGACATTTCAAAAATAGGACTATTTCCTGAAATTAAGAAATAATTGAGCTGTTAAAACAATTATTTTTATAATTCGTTAAGTCGTGAGACAAAAATTGTTTTAGACATGAAATCATCTGAGATCACTTCCATGTATTATTACTTTTCATCTACTCAAAGTATTATATAATACGTGTACGTTGAATCATATAATTTTGAATTGACTCTTTTCAGCAATTTCATGTTTACCAATTTGTTATTACATAATGAGATACATGTAGTATATATAAAGCTTATTTTTCTTGAAAAACATTTTTAACGGTAGTAGGTTACTAAAAATGCCATTGGTTTTTTTTCAGCTGAAAATAAGTGAATTTTTAATCATATAATTATGCTCTTTCATTTTCAGGGATAAAATAAATGAAGATTTTCTCCTCTAATTATTGATACTTTCTGGTAAAAAGTATGAAAAAAACTAATACATGTTTTTTACCTATAGTAAATACATTTACCAAATATTCCTTTTAACATTTTAACTATATCTATTCTCTCATTAAATAATTCAAAATTTAGTGACTATGTTGAATGCCTCTATCCCATGGAACTTGAGATAAAGGATACAACAGATACAGTTAAGTCTTCCTCATATCTTGATTTACATCTAGAAATTGACAATGAGGGTCAGTTGAAAACAAAACTTTATGACAAAAGAGATGATTTCAGCTTTGCAATTGTGAACTTTCCATTTCTATGTAGCAACATTCCAGCAGCTCCTGCATACAGAGTATATATCTCCCAGTTGATACGATATTCCAGGGCTTGTATTTCCTATCATGATTTCCTTGATAGAGGGTTGCTGCTCACGAGGAAGCTACTAAACCAATGATAGCAGATATGTTCCTAATGTCGTAACTACAATCCCGTCCCCTTTTTCTGGAATGTTACCTACCAAATTAGACTTATTACCGGGTTTGTACTAACATGAGCAACACGACAGGTGCCACATGTGGAGCAGGATCTGCTTACCCTTCCAGAGCACCTGAGACCTCCCCCAGTTTTTGATGGAGTTTGTGTTGCTTAGTCTTTAGTTTTCTATGTTGTGTTTTGTGTACTACTGTTTTTGTCTGTTGGTCTTTTTCTTTTTTAGCGATGGCCTTGTCAGTTTACTTTCGACTTATGAGTTTGAATGTCCCTCTGGTATCTTTCGCCTCTCCTTTATATATGTCTTTAACTCGAAGTTTTTTAATCATTTTAATTACAGTAATGAATAAATTTATTTTCATTGTATAAACATGAATATGTTTACTAACTCTTTTTTTTAATCTAATCTTATTACATGTAATCAAAAGGAACCTAATAGAACAATTTATGACTTCACAATCTTCCTGTAAATAATCCAATGATTAAAGAAGATTAATTAAATCATCACAACTCAATAGTCAATGTGTGTGGCTCTGACAAGGGTTACAACTGCCAATTAAAAACAAATGTCTGGCATCCCCAGGTTTCTGTCTTAACATACTACTGTAAATTCAGAAATTATTGGGTGCATTTATTATTGTGAATTTTGAAGAATAGACATAAATGCGAGATTAATTATTGCAGGATTTCAGGAAAATCTGCATACAGATATATGGATCAGCAAATCGCATTATTCACATTCTTAAAAACCTCACAATTATTTCTGAATTTACAGTAACTTGTAACACCATAAAAAGCCAAAAAGCTGACTTAATAATATGCAACATAGATATTTTTTTAGACTATTAAGAATTCAAGTCAAATTTATATTATTTTATTTTTTGTTTGCCCTACTACTATTATCTTTTATCTAAAATATATGTAAAAAAAAAAACAAAGAATAAAAACCACACACAATTAAAAACAACCAGACAATTTTAATATACCTGGATTACAAATATGAGAAAATATTTTCAAATACTTAATTCAATGGCTACAACAAGCAGACATTTATTGAATTACAAATATATTTATCAAACATTTATCAAACTTCAAAAGTTTTAATTATGACATAAATTGCAATGCTTCATAATCGTCTGCAGTTAAATTATATGACAGCTAAAAACGAACATCTATATATTCACATCATATTAGTTTTGTCTGCATTTCATTTTTTCTTTGAGCTATTAAACCTTTAAAAAGATATTAAACCTTAAATATCTTTTTAACTGACAACAAGCTGAGATCATAAAAACTTTAATACCTCTTTAACTGCCAACATGAAGACTTCTCTGACAAATAAATCAACCTCATGTGTGTAGAACCTTTTGTGCAAAAAGTGCAGATGACCTCCAATAATGCATAACAAGTTTACTCAATTTTTAGTGAGAAAAGTTTATTCAGCAATTTCTGCTTTCCTGCTGTCAGAATTTATTCCACATCTAGGTTGGACATACAGTGATTTGTAAACGGGACCAGTAAAATTCAGATATGGTCTAGCATACCTGAGTCTTATCAGTCGCTCTGTGCTGTGTATTTGTTGTTATTCGAGAGATATTAAATTTCTTAGATTTCAACTGTATAGGTGTACAACTAATTTAAATGAACAGCAAGTTACAAATTTTCTTTAGACTTGTGTTCAGACTTTGGCTAATCCACCAAAATCACCCCCACCCCCCAAAAAAAAAATGTTTCCTCTAACCACGAAAAAAGGGTTTCCACAAAAAAAAATCAACTAACACTAAAAAAGTTTGTATTAAAGTCAAAAAATGATAAATGTTTTTACATTTGTAATACATGTACTTCTTATAGCTAATATTCAACGTCGCAAACAAGTAATGTCCTGGAAAAGGGTCAAAAGTTTGTTTCAAAACTGAATTCTAGCTTCGGGAAAAGACTTTCACTGAAGAGATATATCAAAGTATATATTTACAAACCTGTAACACAGTGTTTACAATTTTTTCAACAGAAGAGAAATACGTCTCCCATAGGAACTGTGTTTGTTGTTTCAGCGCCAGAATCTCTGGAACAGACAAGGATCGTACAATGGATGGAACCTGAAAAACATGTAAAACGATTAAATAATATTTGCTTTTCATGTGACTACTATCTAACTGATATATAAGGGAGATAACTCTAAGTTTTTCACCGATAAAAATACTTCACTATCTCCCATGAAGAGCAATGTACTTGCATAAAAATTTCTAAAGGTTACAATACTGCCAATCTAAACATCACCTAAAAACAAATGTATCTCAGTGTGCAAGTCTTTGAATATTAGCTCAACCACCCAAGGTTAAGATAAGAACTGCTCTGAGTAAAACATACAACGGGTATTGACAGGAAAATTTCTCACAGAGGTTATTTTTGCTTATTTCAAGATCATATAAAATGATTATCCTCTTCATGCAAATCAACAATATTAATGTGAAGTCATTTTCTTTTTCTTTTTCTTTTTCTTTCTAACTGATATAAAAATAAGAAGGTATGGTATGTTTTTTATTGAGACAACTCTCCACCAGAGACCAAATGACTTAGAAGTTAGCAACTAAAGGTCACCATAGGGCCTTCAACAATGTGCAAAACCCATACTGCATAGCAAGCTATTTTTACTGAAAACTGTCATAATACTGGTTGTCAAAAGACATTATCTGCCCTTGGCTCTGCAGGTGTCAATATAATGACAAACAATTAGTTATAGTAGTAAATTTGAGAAAGAGGTTACAATTTTTTTTTTAAATTATTAGGAATAGACATGTACAAATGTAGCTAGTCTAAAATTACATGTATATGTATCATCTTCCATAATTTTTTGGGGAAAATTCAGAGATTTTATATTATCATTTTCCAACTGTAATAAATCTTATGAAATGGGACATTCCTGTAGTTTAACCTTCCATCAACTAAATAAATAATATACTTGAACCACCCCCAACTTTTAACTACAGGTAATTAAACTTAATCAAAAGTAACTGCTACAATTGTCCATCCATATAATTGACCGAATTAAAAGGTTAAGAACTTACTCTATTGTACTAGTAGACCAAATCATTACATTAATTATCAAAACTAAACTGGGAGTTTACTGACGGAATGGAATGCTTTTCTAAGCAAGATTAATATACCAAACATGAAAGAATTTAACGTGTAGGGCATTAAGGCGGTTTACCTTTCAGTCCTTTTATCAAAAGATCAAATATGAAAATTGGCCTAAAAAGATATCTATTACCATTATTAGAATTTACATAAATAAAAATTGTATCTGATGAAATTAAAAGTTATATGAATGCAGATACATCTACTTATTATTTCTCTTTTCATTTTTTTGCTTTTTTTTGGGGTTGCTGTCCCTTTGATGAAATTTCCCAGATCTCAATTTATCTAAATGTAAATATCAAGAGAATAGTTTAAATAAAACACCTAAGAATCTGATTTTTCTACTTATCAATGAATACAATTCTTTTGAAATTTTCCTCTTTGAAATGCAAGAATTATTAAAAATTCTACCAATCTTCAAATAATTTTTCTTACAACGATCCCTGACAAAAAAACTTATCTCAAATGACAACAAAAGCAAAATGACCATTATAGGTCCATGGATCAATTGATAAAAAATCTTCATTAACTGAAGGTTGAAATCATCTACAATAACAAAGTTTTCACAAAAAAAATCAACCAAAAATCTCAAACTAAAACAGCTTTCAATTTAGGACAGAGAAATTACAAAACAACAATTTATCTTCTCGTATCTGTTGATTTGGAAGTTTCAATTACTAAGGATAATTAAAATAAAAAAACAAAAATTGATAATACAGGGAATTCATAATTATTTATATGTAAAACCTAAACATTTCTTATATTTTCTTGCTCTATAATATACTTTATTTTGAAATCCGAATAAATTAACACATTTTAACAGTACGTACACTGGTCCTCAAAGTTGTACAAGTACTTAAAATTTGACCATTTTTTTGTCAATTCATCATCATTGTGTCTGACCTACATGTAGTTATAAGTCCTATACTTATCTATTTAATGTGAGGATATTTTAATGTCAAAGTCTACCTGTTTCTAAAGCCCTATACTTAAATTCTGTCAAAGGCGTGGGTAATAAAATAAGTATGTAATCGTCTGGTCATTATGACATGTTCTCAAGAGTATAATGTCACCAGTCTCCAGAGCGGTGCCTGACCCTTGACTCAAGTACTTGTTCAAGTAGTATAAGGAAAAGCTGCTCCTTGTGATAACATAAAGAAGATAAATAATTGAATTTCTCCAATTGGTGGACACTTTTATACAACCCTCAGATGCTTAAAAGTAATATACATGTTCCTGATGAGTCTCAAATTGTCTCGTGCCAGATTTCAAGTGATGACTAATGGGTAACTACTTATCAATGATGTCATAATATTGGTAACTAATTAATTATTATGTCATATTATTGGTAACTTATTAATTATTATGTCATAATATTGGTAACTAATTAATTATTATGTCATGCTATTGGTTACTAAGCTTCTAAATTCATTATAAAAACAGTGTCCTTCATATCATTGGGGTTTTGAAATAGTATTCATAACATTCTTTAAGTACCTGTCCTAACCCAAACCAAAATCACCAAAAATAATTTCAATTTAAGCAGCCAGGAGCTTGTTTATTATCTAGCTTCAGTCTGCCAGTATTGTTTATAACTTTCTCTCTATCTGTTATAGTTTTCAATATAACCTGAGCAAAACTAAGAAATTGTTAAATATCATTTAAGGCAATAAATGTTGACCTCTGGACTATAATTTCTGTCATGTTGACTTAATTTTTAGATCATTACAAAAAGACAACATTTTGACAAAGTAACATAAAATGCGACAGCAACCAAACAGCTCATGAAATACAAATCAAATATATTGGTAAACAAACTATCACCCTAATACCTCAGTTAAAACAATCAAAAGATATGTGTTGTCAACATAAAATTCCTTAATGGACAAAAAACACTTAGATTGTAAACAACCACTGCTGAAAATTATGACTACAAACCTGTGGTGGGGTTAAACCTGAGCTATAAGCTTAAAGAAATTAGGCCTTCTAAAATGGTCATTAATTTTCATTACTACAGCCCCCACAGCAGGGTGTTTAACAGGTGTGATCTTTAACTTAATAATTTATTAGATCCTCCTTCTGGGTAATATGACAATGTACAGGTGTTAAATACAGGTATATATGTCACATTATCAATCAGTATGTATCATTACTTACAAAGTACTCAAGAAGTACAATTAAAATTAGTGTAGGTCCGAGGTCCTGGACCTCTCTTTTCTGGTAGATTTTTTTGAATTAAAAAAGTCAAGGACCTTCAATTCTTTACACTGATGCTTTATACATGACCTTTGACTTTCTTAAGGAGGACCTTTCTCTTAAAAATTCAAGTGGTCCACCTTTCATTATTTAAAGCAAAATTTGAACCCCTGTACAATTGTATATTGGCAGATTGATTGATTATTGCTTGCTTAATGTCCAGTGGCAATTATTTCATACATATTCAAAACCACTATATAAATAACAAATAGCTGAGAGGGTGATAGAGCAGACTGTTACCCCGAAAAAACATCGTTAACAGCGGAGAAGCCAAGGTTGACAATGTCGTTTCGAGGGGTAACAATCTGCTCTATCACCCTTTCAGCTTTGTGTTATTTACTTTATTATACTGAATGTTCTGTTATTGCTGTCTGTTGAATTTCAAATTCAAAGCAATAAACTATGACCTCTTGTACATAACAATCATCCCTATTTAGTAAAGCGCACAAATGATCAATCGTCTCCGTGAAGGGTAATAGAGTATTTGCCATGGGATAGAGTAAATTGTCTCTCTCATATTAACCAATCAGAATCCTCCATTTTTACATGAAGTATAATAAAACAAATTATCAACTAATCCAACAGTTACGTTTGAAAGGTAATTTTGACTCCTACTCAGTCTCCTGGAAAACAAGGGTATGTTGGATAGGGGCAAAAAATTTGCCCTGCGACAGGTCACCTATGGACCTATCAGAGTGTTGTTGCAAGGAATCTTTCACTAGCAGAGAGTGTGACACTTGCTACACATAAGGCATGGAATTTAATGTCCCTATTCCTACTGGATGTTGCTGCAAAGTTCATTATAATTCCTTATATAAACAGTCAAACAAATTCCCTGATTTAGTAAGGGTGTTACTGCCCAAAATGGGAGAGATCAAGGGATTTACCATATTTCTATACCCCAGTCAACCCTTGGCATTTGTTGCTGATAAAAGAGTACATGCAATACAAGTATGATAAGACATCGTTCAACTAGTCATGAGGACTTCAAAAACTTTAGACTTTTATTCAAAAATGTTAGCCTTCCCTTATTCAGATATGAGCAATGTTTTACTGCAGAAATATTTAAATTCTTGGAATTCAAATTTTGTGGTTTTGTCTCTAAATCTTATCTATTTGGGATTAATTTTTCCTACTTTCCAGTTTGCGAAAGTAATATGCTTTATAGGTTAAAATTTTGTTTGGTTTATAATTTCCTGGATAACGAAATTAAAATCCTGAAACAAATGTTTGCCTCTGTCTGTTTTTGTCATCTGTGTATACCTATGTTATACAGTAAGGTTCTTTTCCAAACATTTTTTTATTATATGATGTTTTATGTTCTATGTAAAGAGACAAAATAGGTCCTTCATGTTGATAACAGTCATCAATGCCCTCATTTAAGTGTCAAAATTAACCCCCAGTACAATGGACCATTTGATTTAAGGGTCATCTCAAAATACACAAGGTAATACAAATTAATTTAGATAAATAGTATTAAACTTGAAAGTAGACATCTGTAAACAGCTATCTCAGTTAACCTATAGATAATGATCTCTTTGATTATATAACACATTATGAGAAAGAATGATCTTTTAATTAAGTATGTAATAAAAATGAACAGCTTGGGTGATTAGTGTAGGAATTGAACCCTCACCTGAACCCGAATCACAAATCTGGATTAGGTGTCCTACAAATAATTGCAGATGTTCAAAAAATAAAAGTC